TGACGGGGGTGCCCCTCCCAGGGGCCCCGCGCCGATTTTTTCCTTCCCATTCTGCGGCGGCCCCCGCCGTTGGATTGGATTGGATTGGATTGCCGCCTGGAGCTTTTCGGATCGTACTTGTTTTCTCAGTTTTTTTTTTCGCAGGAGGCAGGAGATTTGGGGTGTGTTTGGTTTCTGGAATGGACTGGAATGTCATTGGTCGGACCTGTTCCTGGGCCTAGTCTTCGCGTTTGGTTCATGGATGGAATTCGTTCCCGTAGACCGAATATTCGGTCCAGATGCGGAACCGAGTGGAACCTTCAAATCGAGCGGACGACAAGGAACCGTCTCCCTCGTCTCACTCCCGCAAACCCCATCGACCGTCACCTGCGCTGCCTACCCTCGTCTCTCTCCCTCCTCGATCTGCTCCGTCGTCGTGATTCCTTCGAATCCTCGCCGCCGGCTCACTCTTCTTTTCTCGCTATCTGCAGCACCACAGGGGAGTCACGGACGGGGCAGATGACCGTCCTCTCTCCAACCGGAGCTGCGTGGCGGCGTTCTTGCAGTGGGGCGGCGGTCTAGGTGTGATTCCGGCGGACTCATGGTTCGCTCGTTAGTTCGTCCGTTCGGGATGTCTGCTCGTCCATCCGCAGTTCAAACCTCTCCTTCCTTTTTGTTTCCTCAGATGGGCAAGTGCGTGAGGACAACAACAAGCAGCGGACGCAGCGCCGGCAGGCAGTGCTGGAAGCGACGGATTGATTTGTTAAATTCTGCAACTCGCCACAGCAAGCAGTGTACAGATGGTTTTGTATTTGTTAAACACAGTACAATGTACGTATGTTACAGAATGAAAAATACATCGTTAAGTATGTCGCTGATGTAAATTTCGGATTGGATGTATATTGTTTGGCTAGTTCTAAAATGTTTGTTTGTACAAGAATGCACTTTGTTAACTGTTTGTGCTGAAAACTAAAATAAATATGTTGCTGAAAATTCACATAATATGTTTTTCAGTTTGCAAAGGCTGCATTTGTTTCAGATTCTACACCATCTATATGGGAGATAATCTCGCCATCCATATGAAAGAGATAGTGGAATCAATTTTGTCCCATTCCATGTCTTCCAACCAAACACAAGAACGTAACTGTTCCGTTTTATTTTTTTAGCTCCAACCAAACATAGGAATGAAACCGACCCGTTCTCCTGGAATGGAACCATTCCATTTGGTTCCTCAACTAAACACACCCTTGGTTTCTGCATTGTTTCCATTGAGCGTTCTGCTTTTAGGATTCTTTTTTTCTGTGGTTTGGTGATGACTCGTCGCTCGGTTAACAAGGAGAGAGTCATAGACGAGCCCAACTCCAACGCGTCACTTTAATTGAACATCCGTTTTGTTCGGATTCTAACGTCTAGATTTTACTCATTTGGATTGGTTAGAGGATATTGTCCGGTCGTGACTGACCAAATCTGTCCGCTATGGACGCATTTCATCCGACCGCCGTGAAAACTGAAATAGCCCGCGCTCATAGCCATGCCAATGTCTATAGTTCATGCCGACAAGAGCGTTAGCGGCTGACGCACATGTCGGCCTAAAAAAATCACCGAGGGTTCACACTAGCACATTTGTTAGCGCATAAAAAAGGCCCTAGTTCATGTCTCGTGGCCCCTAATTAATGTCGGCACAGAAGCCGGCATACAAAATGATGTCGCTCGTGGTTGTCATCTAGCTCGAGCATCACCTTTTGCTTCTTCTCCGACGAACCTCTTCTTTTCGGGGACATCTTGCTCAAGTCCATCATCATGATCTTCACCTCCTTCGCCAGGAACGAATCTAGAAAATATATATTTGTTGGGGTCATGTCTATGGCAGTGGAGTCATCTTCAATAAATACATAATGTTTAGTACTAAATTAATGAAGGATTTTCTAAGTTCATTAGGATCAATTGACCCCAATGCCTACAAGGCAGTTTCGTCACTGTCCTTCGCAATGAAAGCTAGCGCCACCTCTTTTGCTTTGGTGTTCGTGCTGATTGCCTCAATCTCGAGCTTCTTCGTTTGGACAGCCTTCTCAATCTCGAGCTTCCTCCTTTTTACGGCCTCCTTCATCTCGAGCTTCTTCGTTTGGAGCTCCTTGTAGACCTTCATTTGCTCCTCTTTTTCTTGGCGCTTCCTCTCATCCCTTGCTTCCTTTTAGGTCATCATGCCTTGCAAAGTTTCTTGCAAAAGCGAACGATATCGCATCACGCTTCTCGTCTACCTTGGAGTTGGTCTTGCACCTTGGCCGCTTCTCTCCTTCTTCATGCTCAACGACGGTCTTCGGACCTCCATTCATCTTTTGGGAAATATATCGCTCTTTGAACTTGGGGCAATCTTTGATGATCGTCCGACAATGGGTTAGGCTGAATGTGTTGGTAATATGGCCTACAAACAATAATATTTGTATTATCATATTTCCATATTCATAATTAAAGAGTTTATACTCTATGCTATAACTATCATGATCCTGGAATATGCGATTTAGTGAAAAACTCATATGCACGTGTGGAGTGATAAACAGTTAAATAAAAGGTTCCTAGTGTTGCCTCTAGGACTAGCTAAACTGTTGTTGGTGATCACATTTTCTGGATCTTAGGATATCATTAAGTGTAAACAATAGTCCTAAAACAACATTGAGATTATGACGTTGGAAGAACGATCATATTGAATCGACTCAAAAACTTTTCTGTTATGAATTGAGTTTGTATCTTCAGTATTCAATTGTAATAACACGGAGTGTTAACATGTGACTTTGCTCCTTAGACCATGAAAGTATCATAGTCACTTCTTACTATACGGTGAACTTTGGGGTTGCTCAAACATCACCTATAACACAGTGATCATAAGGACAACTTACAGGCTCATCGGGAAGTTTGACAAGAGACTAGATAGCTCTAGAGTGAGATTTGCTCCTCTCACGATGTATAGGGGTTCTTAGGGCCCTCTCGGTGTGATGACATCTATCATCATCTGGCCAGGCACCGGTGACTGTATTACAGGAATGCCGGAACACGACAACGAGAAACAAGAACAAAACTGGCAACGAGGATAACGGTATAGTGAGCATGTGATGACTCAAGAGGATACCGTTGCATTCCGGGCTTTGCGAAGTATCACGAAGCAAAGGTAACATCATATGATAACCAAAGATACATGATACCTCTGTTTATTGATCAGGTATTGGAACAGAAAAGAGTATCCCGCACCTAATGGCCCAATCCTTTTTGTAGCAAAGGATAAGCCTAGACGAACTCTTATATAAAGCAAAGCGCTCTCGAGGACACACGGGAATTATTGTCAAGTTAGTTTTCATCATGCTCATATGATTCGCGTTTGTTACTTTGATAATTTGATATGTGGGTGGACTGGTGCTTGGGTGCTGCCCTTACTTGGACAAGCCTCCCACTTATGATTGACCCCTTTCGCAAGCATCTGCAACTATGACAGAAGAATTAAGATAAATCTAACCATAGCATGAAACATGTGGATCCAAACCAGACCCTTACGAAGCAACGCATAAACTAGGGTTTAAGCTTCTGTCACTCCAACAACCCATCATCTACTTATTATTTCTCAATGCCTTCCCTTAGGCCCAAATCATGGTGAAGTGTCATGTAGTCGACGTTCACATAACACCACTAGAGGAAAGACAACATGCATCTCATCAAAATATCGAACGAATACCAAATTCACATGATTACTTATACCAAGACTTCTCCCATGTCCTCAGGAACAAACGTAACTACTCACAAAGCATGTTCATGTTCAAGATCATAGGGGCATTAAATATTATTAAGGATCTGAACATATGATCTTCCACCAAATAAACCAATTAGCGTCAACTACAAAGAGTAATCAACACTACT